GCAGCTCGATTGATCGCATTATACTATACAAAATAATGAATGAATATAATTTTACCATATATGTAAGTATATATGTATGTAAATATATATTGATAATAAGTACATGTATGTTTATAATGTATCGGTTAAGGTCAAAGTCTAAAAAAAAAAAGATCCGTTTTTGTAGAATAAAAAAAAAAAATATTAAAAAGAGAAAATTAAATATAGATCTGCAAAATATATCAGATTTTACATATACATATAGAATTGTAATAGTATAACAGAAATAATAATAACAGTGAAATCTCTCTATAACAAACTTCAAAAATTATATACTTATAAATAAACTTTTATATATGTATATATATAAGAGCTTCTTAACAAGAGAGCCGTATGAACTTAAATGAAAATTCCATGAGCAGCAGTTGATTGTAGATAGATAGTGGGGTAGTAATATATCCTGGGCCACTGCAGCCATTCGCTATTTATTGTAGCCTCCCCACGCCCCTACAATATCCCCGTTACATAAGTATAAAATCGGAGATGAGCAGCAATAAATAAATTGTTCTCTAAATAAAAACTTAATTTATATATAAAATATTCATTAAATAGAGATTCTATTGTGTGGAAATTAAAGAAAAGAAAAACTGTATAAAGAGGAAAATGTTTTTTTTTTATCTGATATACAATGAACGTTCATTCATTATTATAGATCAAGGCAAATTCTTTTTCCCAACCAGATTTTATTTTGTTTTTACAAAAATGTATACCGGTACACGTAATATTTATATACCATTATGTGAATTAAATATTAACATACATATACATAATATATCAACTTATATACAACATTAACATTTGCGCAAATAATTATAATGTTAATGTCCAAATGAAAAGCAAAAAAAAAAAAAACAAAAAAATGTATGTACTTAAATATTTTTATTTACATTCCTTGTTTTTATTTACATGCACATAAAAATTTATAGAATAAGTAAATGATCAAACTGTTATATACGTATATATATATATATATATATATATATATAACAGTATATGTTAATGTGGAAGTTAAGGATTGTATTTAATTATAAATTCATTTTTTTAATAGTATTGTAATTAAAATAGTTTAGTTTAATTAATTTTTTTTTTCATATATATTACAGGGGGTTTCAATTTTAAATGTTTAGAATAAGGCGCAAGTCTTCGTTAATTAATTGTGAAGTATCTATATTTTTCAGATTATATTGAAAACTCAACATTATCTTAGTAATATTGAAAAAATTTTATAATACCAAAGATATTCATGAAAACAAAATATTTTATATTCAGACCTTGTAGTATAATTTTTAACACAGTTAAGATAACTATTAAATATTTTCAGTAAAATATCCTCTAATCTGACCTGATTGAAAACAATCTTATGAAGAAAGGAAGTGATTAAGAATTTCAAGTTTTGGAATTGAAAAATTGCATACTTTATTCTTTATTAAGGAATTATGTCGGTAATTGGAAACTTATTACGTATATTTCTGATATAAAAAAAATTTAGCATAACTTTTTACTGCTTTTATAGAAATTTGATGATAATTTTAGTTTTGAGATTATAATTTAAATTTGAGGGAATAATTTGCCGTAAACGGAAGTATTTTTTAAATTATTGTAAAAGAAATAGCCCGGGAGAGGTTGTAAATACAAGCCATTTGTTAATTAATTTATACAATATTTTATAAACTATATGAAAAATATTTAGTCTTGTTTCCATAGCTTACTGTTTTAGACCAAACTATCATTTTATTGTAATAATGATTATGTGTCTATGCATTTAGAAAACAGTTCAATTGTGAAAATTAGGCTGGTTGGTTTTTTAACTGTTGAATCGTGAAAATTAAGTTGGTACAAGTCCACTTTTTAAAAAGGCTAAGTTAATTGTAATTTTCATGAGCTATAGCCACATTCGTTCCACAGTTACAATCATAATTTCAATAGAGTTCTACTTAGACATTATATAAGCAACTTATTTTATTATGGTCAATATTTTTAAATTGATTCAAACGCAAACCCTTAAATTTTTTCAATATATTCAAAAAAAATGTACTTTCTTATATCACTTTCAAGAAAACCAGCTCAATTGTTCACGCATACTTAAAATTTATATTATTATACTAATACTTACACAAGGGTCTACGTAACGAATAACACCCTGTATAATAATAAAGTTAAAAAAAATTTTTTTTTCATTTTCAAGAGCACATGTAAAAGTTAAAATAAAAAATAAAATTTACATACAAACATTTTATGTTCTATTTTTTTTTTCTTTGATTTTTAGGTATATTAAGAAGTAAAATCTAATATATTTTTATATATTAAGCAAAAAAAAAATTAAAAAATATTAAAATAAATAAAAATAAGTAAAAAGTAGTTTTATAATTTATAAGAAGATCTCAATTTAGTTTACTTTTGTCCACGATCTTGAATAGATGATAAAAATTGTGTGAAAATAAGTTTAAATAAATTTCAATAAAAAAAAAAAGAGTTTTAAAAAATGTTTGTATAACTTTATTTTTTTTTATGTATAAAAGAAAATAAAATAAAATTAAACTCATTTGTTAATTTAAAAAAATAAAATTTTTTCTTTAATTTTGTTTAAAAATATGCAAAATTTTTCTTTTTATATTATTTTGCATATATACCACATATAACAGATTTAAAATACGTTATTTATAATTGTATTATACGCACAGGCATAATACGTATACTTGTATAAACATAATATTAATTGCATTATATTGTATTTTATTGAATAAAAAATAAATAAGTGAAAATATTTCGTTTTTTTTTATTTTATTTATTTATTTAAACAAAATTATTACAATTAATTGAAAAATAGTTAAAAAAATAAATATAAATTTTCATTTTAATCAAAAATTATATTGTCACAAAATTTTTTGATTATTTTAAAAAATTAAATAAAAACTGTTACACATAAATGTATATATATATATAAAATCAGATTGCAATATAAGAGAACATAATTATGTATACGTTCATATTATAATAAAATTATAATAAAAGAATAATAGCAGTGTTATATTATAGTATTAGCGAAAAAAAATTTTTTCATTTATTAAAATTTTTACTAAACTTACTTAGTATATGTAGATTTAATCCACTGCCACCTATCCGAAACAAACCAAAATAGAAAATTAAAAAAAAATGAAAAAAAAATCAAAAAATAAAATTAAAAGAAAATTAAACAAAAAAAATTTCCGTGGGAAATTTTTTGTTTTATATACAATAAAGTATAACAAAAAAAAAAAAAGAAATAAAAATAAAAATAACTAATAATAATAATAAACTATTGAAAAGCAAAACAATAATAGAAAAAAAAAAATAAGAATAAAAAAAAAAAAAACAATAATAAAATAAAAAGTCCGGTGGTTCGGCGCGAAAAATAGAAGAATAGAAATAAATTGGTATACACAATATACCAAATAATAATATGAATACACACACACAAATATCAACGTATATATATTAAAATAAATCATATATATATACATATATATATATATATAATATAAAAGAAATATTGCTATTGAAATTCAAAAATTTGTTTGTTTGTCATACATATATACATATACAAGTTATATAGCAAAATATTTTCTTCTCTTGTTACTTCTCTCTCTCTTTTTTTTTCTTTAATCTCTAAAACTATAATATTGAATTGAGATGCACGCTTTTAAAACAAGAAGTGTTTTATATTTAAGAGTTTCTGTTATAATTTGATTTTTATAAAATATTTTTGCAGAAGATCAAAAATTTGAAATATCGTTATATATATATATATATATATATATATATATACAAATAATTAATGCATATATATCACAATGATATATATATAGATATATATATATATATATAAACAAATAATTAATGCATATATATTACAATGATATATATATAGATATATATATATATATATATATATATCATTAACACCATATATTTGATATATTTATAAAAATTTTGGTTACATTTTATATTGTATGTTATATATGTATATATACCACAAATAATAATAAGTGGCATAATATTATTGTATATACGAAAAAAAAAAAATAAAAAATAATTTTAAATAATAAAATAATAATAATAGAAAAAAATTAAAAATAAAATTTTTATTATTATTATTTTTTATTTTGTTTTGGGGAAAAGAAATTAAAAAAAAGTATACAACAAAAAAATTTTTTTTTTAAATATTAGACAAATATATGTGGGTATGTGTGGTATATATACGAAAAATATATATATATGTATGTATACAAAAGTATAACAAAATGAAAAGTTGCTTTTTATTCATCAAAAAGAATTTACGTATATATATTATTTTTATATATACACACATACATGCATATATACAGAAAGAAAAAAAAAATATTTTTTTTTTGCGGTGAAAAAGTACTTTTGCACAAAAATCTCTTGACAGTTTTATTTTAATATTGGCTTAAATAAGTCGTTAACAATTTTTTGGGGGTACCAAGCATACACTACAAAAAGAAAATTTTGAAAAAAAATTAATATTAATTTTTCATATTAATTTATTAATAAAAATTTAAAAATTATAAAAAATTATAAAAATTTATAAAAATTTTAAGATAAAAAATTAAAAAATCAAAAAAATAAAAAACTTAATATTTAATTTTTGTTTGAAATTTAATATTATTTTTTAATTTAATTTATTTTCAAATAATTTATTAATTTTAAATTTATAATTAACTAATATTCGCAATATATTATAATAATTCATAAAACTACAAAATAAAATACAAAAAAATTAAATTAATTTTTTTTTACATAAATTTTAACAACAAGTTAAATTAGAATAACTGAGCGAAAAACAAGTTAATAGCGAAAGAAAATTTCGAAAACAATAAAATTAAAAAAGTTTTTTTTTTTGCTAAAAATTAATTTTAATAATTTTTCATAATTAATTTATTTTTCTTTTAATTTCATTGTAGTTTCAAATAAAAAAATAACTTAAACTCAACATAAAAACTGTTCAAAATTAGAAAAAAAATACAAGTTCCTTATTAATATTATTAAAACACAATATAATTTAAAAAAAAAAAATTTCCAATTTCTTTTATTCTAAATTAATATAGATACTTAAACAATTTTTTTTTGTTGGTGCATTTAAAATATTTAAAGAAAAAACAAAAAACTCAATCATTTGATTTGATTTAAAAAGGAAAAAAAAAACTAAATAAGGCTAATTATTTAAAAATAATTGTTCAATAACGGTAAATAAGTAATTTAAAAAGAGAAAAACAAAATCAAAATGGCTGATGTTAGTCATGAACTTGGATCAATTCGACATATCGTTGTAAGTATCACATATATTTATCTAAATATCTACAATTGGTTATAGACTTACTTTTACACCTATATGTTATGTATTATAATATAAAATAATGGATATAATGCTCGACATTTCATAATAATAGACCTCTTAAGAGGCCTCCTACACATTTTATTTTGTATAACATTCATTATAAATGCCAAATTTTTTCTTTCCTTTTTTTATTATTATACTCAATTTTTTTTATATGGTGTTCTAAATATTTTGAATAATTAGAACGCTCTATATCCATGTGCAGAATCATTTATGAAATGGGTTTTGAAACAGGAAGAATATTATCTTGCAGTATAGCCTTACAAAATTTATATGATTCGAGATTTTTGATTCAAAATTTTACTAGTTGTATGAAATTTTTTACAATATAGTTAGATACTAGAAAACTGAAATATTTTGTAAGATGAAATAAGAGTAAATAATATTAATTTTTAAATATGCAAATTTTCTATAATAATAGATGAAGATTATATTTCATCAGAGAATAGATGAAGGAGTGTTAACAATTTTTTTCTATTTGAAAGAGAAAATGGTAACACTCTAAATTTCAACTATATTTATTTTTCAGTAGGCATCTCATATTACCAATAGGAAGCGGTAAAGGGACAAAGGGATTAACTTATATTTGCATCCTGACACTTTTTTTCATTAACAAATTGTTTTAACTCTTATGTGCAATGTGAGTTACGTTTTCTATTTAGTTTCTAGCTATAAGAGTAAAACACAGTTGAAAATATATGAAATTTAATAATGTTCTATTCGAACAGCTCGATTTTCATCAAAATGTTAGTTAACCCCTTTGTTCACTTACCTCTTCTTTTATTAAAGTGTCGTAGTCTTAATCTTATATTTGAGTTTAAAATTTTAAATAGAGTTTTTCCGGTAATAATTACAAGAGTATATTAATTGTTATATTTTAATTAATATTTTTTATTAATAACAAAAAAAAAAAAAAACCATGAAAAATTTTTGAGTCTGTAAAATTTTGCATATATCAAGGCGTTTTGGTTTTTTAACAGATGGTGAATTTTCCATTTTTAACTAAAATTCAACACAATTTCAAAATTTAAAAACAAACATTGTTTTTATTTTAATTAAAATTATAAAAATCTTATAAAACTATAAAATAAATAATAAAATAAGAAACATTTTTGCAAATTACATTATTCATTAAATTTATACAAAAATAAAATTTATTTTTATTTAACAAAATATTTGAAATTTTACCATTAAATTTTTAACATAAATCATTTGTAAAATTTAAATAAAATAATATTTTATATTGCTAGCTGCTACATTGAAATTTTTACATAATTATGTATTTAAAAATTTAATTAATTTTAAAAAAACATAAATTTCATATTACAACTTGTATAGCTATGTTTCCTTTCTGGTTATATATGTGATTATCCTTATATATGCATATAGCTATGATTATCTACATAAGAATATATGCACCGCTATATAAATTTACCGCTATTTTCTATAATTTGCAATCTACAAATTGGGAATTCGTTTTCTCTATAATCTAGTAGACGGAAACTCTATTCACTTAAATATAGTTTATAATTAATAATAAAATCTATAATTAAATTAAAATGAATTAGTTTTTTATTACGGATTTGGATCTTTTCTAGCAATAACGACCCTTGGTTAATTGACTGTTTTGCATTTTAAAAATAAAATTTGAAAATTTTACAAATGAATTCGACGTCTTCACACTGTTCTGGCAATATGAACTCAATTTCTTATAAATTTCATAATATTTTGAAATATACATTTAATTGCAAAATTAACAATGATTAGTTTTCAAAAGTCATTAAAATTTAGAATTACACAAATTCTTCGTCCATTTGTCAATTCTAAGAAATTGATTAGTGTTATACTCCTGATATAATTTAAATCAGTGTTTTGTCTACATATACAATCTAATTGAATTTCTCATTGAACATAAAATTTTCTAAAATAATTTTATATCCATATATGTAAACATAAAATTTCAATTTACTTAATCATCAAGTCTATATTAAAAATGCATGAATACCCATCATTGTGTTCATCGTATATGTACAATATATATTTACAAAGCACGTTCATTTTATTTATTATTCATTTCTCTTATAATTTTAAATATATGTACATATATACAATTCAAAAATATTTAATTAACAAATTAAGTAATCATAAATCGTCAGAAGGCATTAAAATTTCAAAAAAAAAAAATAATTACATAGCTAAGTTATATACAATTTAAAATTAAAATATAATCTTATAAATATTTGTAAATATTTAAATTAGTGAAAAAATTCAAAAGATAATTATTCATTTTGTTTGCTTTTAATTCATTTGTAGTTAAAAAGCACAAGAAAAAAAAAAAGGGAAAAAAAATGGAAAAAAAAAATCAAAATAACCAGACATGACAAGATGAAATTGTTAGCCAAAATTTTTATTATGTTGCAGCCGCAATTCGAAATTAATTAATTATAAAAAAAAAAGAAAATTGAAAAAATTTACATTAAGAGAATTCTTGTCTCACTCCTCATTACAATTAAAAATTTTCTTTTTTAATGCAAAATAAATAAATTTTATTTTATTTTCAAAATTTTAAAACTTAATTAATTAATAATTAAATAAAAAAATAAAATTGAATATAATTTTTTGTATTTATTACATGAATATTTCAATATTTCCATATTATTTAATATTATAAATAATTTAATATTAATATGATAATAATTAATTAATAAATTTTAAAGAACCCCGTAATGTATGCAATTTTTTTATAAATGTTATAATTATAGCTTAGACATGGAAATTTCTTAATGAAATTCAAAAAATTTAATTTATTTATTATAAAATTTATTTACATCGTGCTATACTTATATTATTTACACACATATAGGAAATCTTTTCTCATCCTGTCAGCGCAATTTCAGTATACATATATGTCACATATATTTGAATAGTATAAACCAAGCTTAAATAAAACTCTTGTAAATTATTAATTTTCTCCCATTTTTTCAAACAAAAATGTCATTTTGTTCAATTCATGCCTTCTATAAGAAAAATAGCTAGCTATTCGCAGCAAAGTATATAAAATTTAAATATTTTAGAGAAATTAAATTAACATGGTATTTAAAAATAAGTAATTATAAAGTAATTAAGTCTAAATTTGAATTCAATTTGTTCTGTTCTGTTATATTTATTAAAGATTTCGATAAATTCAATCACGAATTATACAAATCCCCATCATTGCTCCAAAAAAAAATGTAAATATGTGCATAACTTTACTTTCCATCTTGTACAAAAATCTGGTACTCAACCATAACAGAAAAGAAAACTTAATTTTACATTATGTATTATTATTTTTTTAGAATATTTTTTAGATATGTATAATAGATTATTTACAATTCACTTAATCCAGAATTGTGCTACAATTATAATTGTTACTAATCTATAGTGCCATTAATTCTGCGGTTAATATTTCTTTAATCTTGCTTGATCTTAAAAAATTTAAATATAATTTCACAGATCATCATTAAGAATACACAAATTAAATGTATGAGATTTCATGTAATATGACGCCTAAAAATATGCAATTTTTTTAAAAAAATATAAATTAAGTTAGATTAAAGAGAAAGCAAAAATTTTTACATTTTCATCTTGTTTTATTTATTTTAATTAAATTTATTTTTCAATTTAAAAATTTAAAGACAATATTACCTATATTTTAAATATATTTGTTAATTTTTTACAATTTTTTTTTTTTATATTCTTAATTCGCTCCTGGCAGGGGCATAGGAGTGGTGCACAATATTGTAGATAACCGTGAACACCAATTTCTTATGTCATCGAGTTTACTAGATAGGTGACGAGCCTACCGTAGTTAGTATTGCATTAAAAACTTCTTTCAGTCTTTCACAAGTTAGAGAAAAAATTAATCGGTTTTTTTAATAAGTCCATGAGTGAAAGTCCCTAATATTATTAATATTAATTTCATATTTATATTGTAACATAAACTTGAAATTAAGTTAGTTATTTTTTTTTTCTTTTTTTTGCCAAATTATACCTATAATGATTACCTATATAATTATACATACAATATATAATGAGAAAATTATTCACAAATCTTGTTAGTCGAAAATATATAGAAGAAAAAATAACTAAAAACAGGAAAATGTTGAAAAAAAAAAAAAAAAAATACAAGAAATAAAAATGTAGAAATTGCTTTTGAAAATATTATAATGCATATAATATGTAAATGTACATGTGTCTATGAATATTTTGTATATTCTCATGTTTTATAATTTTTTTTTTGGATTTTTGCTTTAATTTTGGCAATTAAACAAAGAAAATATATCATAATTTATGAAAGTATAATATGAATGTCTCATTTATAATTTATATAATGGCGATACACACATTAAGTAGATTAGGTGCATATTATATATATATATATATATATATACATAAATGTACATAATATTTATTTTGTATCGAAAAATTTTTTCCTTAATTTTCAAGGTAAATTTATAGAATTTTTAATGATTTTGAAAATACAAGAGGAAAAAAATTAAATAAAACAAGAACACAAAAAAAAAATTCGGGAACAAAGCTATAGGCGATATACAAATACGAAAATGATCAAATAAGAAAAAGTAGAGAGGAAAAACAAATAGAGCAAGTTATTTTTTTAAATTGGCAATAATTTTCATTTTAATATTTATTTCGATATAACAAAATTTTTCCATGTCCATGGTTCCATAATAGAAATAATATAATTATACACGTATTGTTATATTCTATATATAATAAATTGAGTCTGTATAATAGTGTTCAGTCTGCTGTTTAGCCCCCCCCCCCCATATTTGCACTTCAAAATCAATTCATTATGATTTATTCTTCTTTTTTAAAGAAAAAATAAATGAAATTCAAAATTTTTAAAAATTATTTTTCAAAAAAAGAAAAAT